AGCAGATTGTATCCCTGCTTGACTATCCCTTGGCTGTTCCTCTGACATTTCCAAAGCTCTGCAGAAGTCCCTTGACTTTCTTAGTCACCTCAGAAACCTTTGCATCTGCTTCCTTCTCAGCAGAGTTTTAGCCCCTGCTGCTGCTGCAGCAGCTCTCTGAATCCTGTGTTCTTTTTCTCCCTACACTAAACTGCTTTGGAGGCTTCTTTGCTCTAAGCATCCTCAGTTGCTAGCAGGAAGGCAATCTTCCCTTGCCTCCCACAGGGATCCACCTAACCAGGTTATAAAGAGACCAGCTTCATTATTTTGCTCTTTCCAGAGTGGTATTACAAAAAAAAAAACAAACCCAAAACCAAAAAACCAAAAAAACAACAACAAAAAAACCCCCCAAAAAACCCCCCAAAAAACCCAAACATAAGCTTTTTATGATACTGAAAAATATAGACAGAAACTTGATTAATCCATCATATTCCATATTAAATTTGTAAATCATCTGGGTAAACAGTAGCTTTACTAAATTCAATTAGAAAGAGTTTCTTTCTCTTTGGGGTAATCACTCTCTACTGAGATGGGGAAGAGGAAACTAAATTACAGAGAATTTATTGAGGAACGTAAAAGAATTGACTTTATTATGTGACAGTGATCTAGACAGAAAGAAAAAAGCTCTGATAGAGGTTGTCATATTAACTGAGATAATCTGCTCTCAAAAAGCCATCCTACAGGTGTTAGGAAGGCCTTGCTCCACCCCAAATACCAGTAGAATTGCTACCTTGTTGTTTTAAGCTCAAATTTTGGGGGTTTTTTTGAGTAATGCTTGTCTAGAACACAAATACTTCAAACAGGTATACACAATCTCCACTGGGACAGTAAAGAGGAATAAAGTTTGGCCAACTCTACCTTTCCCTATCATTATTCTAAATTCTTTAACTACTGAATAAATCAAAATAAAGACAAAGATATTTTCACTCTCACCATCTGTTTCTGCTGTCCGTCCTTTCCCATCCATCTTCCTGAGGATAGCCTATCAACATGATCCTGATCAAGTACACAGAGGGATGCTAAGGCCAGCCATAGCTATTGAAAAGCAAGTTAGAATTAATGTTTTAGAAATACTAAAATTTTTTTTTAAATCCCAAACACTAAGACAGACACTTGGCAGACGAGAATGTCACTGTTATCTGCAAACTGTGTCATCATTAGCTGAAGCCTGCCCATACAACACTTTTTTTTTTTTTATTTTCCAAAAGAAGTCAAGCACACAATAAAACTTATTCAACTTCTAGGATCTACCTTGTTTCTTTCAGTTATGTCACTTTATGGTCATAAATACAGCAGTCAGCACACAAGAGAGAACAGTGAAGAAAGATCAACCAGAGTATATTACAAAGAAACATGGCAAATACAGACTTGTATACCACTCCCCAGCACTGCAGGCTTTGGGGAAGAAGAAATTCAGGGACAGAGACTAATAAAAAACCCCAAACCAGCAAAACTTTAGCTCAATGAGATTGGTTTGCCTATGTTCTCTCCTCACTGCATGGGGCATTTGAGATTACCTAGAAAAGGGTCCTGAGCTAACTATTCATCAGAGGAAGCTTTTCTCTTCTTCTCCACTGACCACAGCAAAATCCTAAGAGATGAGCTCCACGGGAATAATTTGTTGGTAGGCCTGAAACCCGAACTGAGATGCCCTCAACAGCTGCATTTTGCAATAGTTTTTGGTCAAAGGTTTGATTTGAACAAAATGGCTTTAATTGCAAAACTCTACTAGACTCCCCCCAAAAATGCACACCTCCACATTCATTCACAAGGAGAGCCAGGCTGACGTTCAGGGCTCTTCTGAGAACTGATCAAATTAACAGAGTGACAGCAGGAGTTGGTGGTACACCGAGACCATGTCTTCCAAAGAGCAGAGAACGTAAGAGTAAGGGGATGAAAAGGACAACTGGCACAGCCTTTTAAAATGGAAAACAACACGAGCATTCAATGTTTGCAGCACTTGCAAACCTCGTCTTTTACATGTAATTGTTATGCCTGAGAAGCCAAAATCCGTACTCCCTATGATGGTAGGAATGTCAAAATTTACAAATATGCTTTTCATGATATTTCAAGCAATCTGTTAAAGTTAAGGTAGTCCAAGCTGCTATAAGAGAGTAATGGAAGAAGGAAAGGCAAAGAAAAAAAACCACTCCAGGTAAATAATAAAGGGCTCAGCAAATGATCTTTCATTTTCAGACTAAAACACAGGTGAAGCTTAGCTTAATTAATTGTCCTAGAGAATGACTGTTACTGAATGTTTTTATAATAGCCTTGAGCTGTGTCAGCTGATGACCTAGAAGTCAAACCACTTAAAATGCTCCAGAGAGCTGGAAAAAGGCACCTGATACATATTTTGCAATTTTCCACACAGATGATCTCATAAATTTAGTAGAAGGCAAATATAAGCATAACACTTATTCTGTGTTTTGGCATGCAGAGCATAACACTTACTCTTCCTTACTTGGGAGGTACCCAAGTATTTAATAACCAAATATTTAATCAAAATTCAGTTTTTACAGGTGTATTTCTGCCACAAAGAAGAAAACTCCATCTGCTGTGACACAGAGAAAGCAAGACTTTTAATAGGACTAACAGTGATTGCCTGAGTTAGGATACCTGTCCATTATGCACACAGCTAGATTTGGAGAATATAAACTGTATACCATATGCATTGTTTCCTGAAACAACTTATATAAGGAAGTTTTTTCTAAGATAGAGGAATGCTCTTGGATGGGCCCCCACTGCATGTTTACAATGAACTGAAGTTTAGTCAAGTTCTTACTCTGGTTGTTGCAATGCACCTCACTGGTGATCTGTATTCTTCTTCCATTTTGGTCAGAGCTATAATGGTTTCAGCAATAGCATTCTTTGTCACACGGGACCAAGCTTCTGACAGATGACCCTGTTAAAGAGGAAACTCACATTTATTACAGCTTTTATTAATATTAAGAACAACTAAAACTGTAATTAGAGCTGCTACAAGCAACATCAGGATCTCAAGATAGAATAGAAAAAGAAGTAGTCAGGGATGACTTTGACAAATCAGGTTTCTTCAAATCAGACCTGGTAAAAACTAGCCCTCAAATACTCAGGTGACTGACTGAGGTAGTCTCTGAGCAACTACTGGAATAACTAACAGGCATGTGATTTGAAGAATGAAAGAGCATATTCCTAAAGCCTCCCTATAGAAAAAAAGATGCAAAACTAGAGCACAAATAAGTGACTGTAAACGCACCACAGATTACAGTGGGTTCCTAGAGAAATCTGCTTCACTTGCCTAGCTCAGCCTTCCTGAATACTCTCCACAGTTTCTGTATTTGAAAGAAATGAGGAGGAGTACACAGGAAACATCAGAACCACAGTATATTTTCCAAACCAATCTCAGAGATTCTGAGCCTGTGGCACTGACTTATAAAGTTCCCAATTCAGAGACTGCTGAGTCCTTAAATTCTTAATGTAACCTCTAAATTTCTAAATCTCATGCTAAAGGTGACCTCATGCTGATTGAGACTCTAAAAAGGAAGCTACAGTGACTGACTCAGGTATAAGTACCTACACATTGCAAATGTTGAAAAAGTTAAGTGAAAGGAATCATATTTGCAACTCTTACAAAGTGGCTAGTAAGACTGATGTCACCCTACTGATAATTATCAGCACTAAAAAGCCTCAAATAAATTTTTTTAACTAGGACCCCTCTACTCCTCCACTGTCTTTTGGGTAACAGGGCTGAACAAGTTTTGAGCATGCCTAAACCACAGAGGTCCCTTACAAAACATAATAAAGAAATGTTATTACTTGCACCCTTGAATGGCCTCAGCCATAGAATCATAGAATGGTTTGGATTGGAAGGGACCTTAAAGATCATCTAGTTCCAACCCCCCTGCCATCAGCAGGGACACCTTCCACTAGACCAGGTTGCTCAAAGCCTCATCCAGCCTGGCCTTAAACACTTCCAGGGAGGGGGCATCCACAACTTCTCTGGGCAACCTGTTCCAGTATCTGACCACCCTCACAGTGAAGAATTTCTTCCCAATATCTAATCTAAACCTCCCCTCTTCCAGTTTTGAGCCATTTCCCCTTGTTCCGTCATTAACTGCCCTTATAAAAAGGTCTCCCTCACCTAGAATAAAAGGGAATAAAGTTCAGATCTTTTCTTTGTACAAGAGGAGAGAAGAGTCCTTATTGTTTGGCTACTGAATACTTTAGAGTAAACTCAGTTCCAATCATTCCTTTAGGAGCTGCTACACTTTAGGTAAGCAATTCAGAATCCACTGAAAGAGGGATTTATATCCACATCTAAGAGGACTGCACTTTATTTGACTGACCTGATCTCTTTCTTTTTTGTAATAAATAATTACATATTCATTCCAAGAGAATTCATCCATTAAACAAGAGAATTCAAGACCCACATCAGTATACTCAATAGCCAGCATTACTGGGAAACTATCAGGTATGTGGGAGATGGAGCCCAGCATACTCTCAGTATGCATACAAATTGCCATATCTGACTCCAGAGCTTCAAGAATTTTCCTACTAATTTTTGCAATGGTTTTGGAGAACCAGATATTAGTAAATGCATCAATTTTGTGGGTGAACAACTTGAATGGCTAGAGTAGCTGCTTAGACAAAAATAAAACATCTGACTCCAGTCACCCAGTCACTTTCTACTAATCTCTTTCTTTTGTTCCTGGCAAAGGTCCTGCTCAGCTTAGTTCATTAAGGACAGGCTCTCCTGTCATCACTGGAGCCAGAATTACATAAAACAAAGACCACAGAGTTTCCTTCAAAAGGCTTGCCCAGTAATATTTTAAAATGCTGCAGAAGAGAATTCACTATTTCCCTGATGTTTTCCCACTTACCCAAAGCATGCCTACCAACAATGGCTACAAATGATACTTAAAAAAAGATAAAATCTTGAACAAATTACCACCACCACCCCCACCTCCAATTCATTCCCAATATATGTTGCATCTTACACACCAAAAGAAGTAGGGTGCCTGAGAAAGACATATGGGCATATACATACAGGGGGCACCATGTTAATCCTGGAATTTACTATCTTATGAGTACCTGTCTTTCCAAATGCTGGGGTTTTTTTTGTCCTAGTTTGCATATGCAGTTTCCTAAAATGTTGATAAAGTAAGCAGAAACAAAAATCCATCATGTGGAATCACAGTGGTACCTACAATAGACCTTTCCTCCCTAGTCACTGGAGCAACTGAAGCAAAGACTAAGGGATGATTTTATGCATGGACCAGCACTGCTGAGGAATGAGATACACTTTCATTGTAACTCTTAACTAAAGATGAGTTGTGAGATTCTGAAATCTTGTGGTCAGAATCAACAGTGCCAATTGCAGAGCATTCCCATCCAACTTCAGCAACTTGAAGAAGGGATCTCCTTAACCTAAGCACAGTGAGTGGTTTAGAAAACAGGACTCCAAAGCTGAACATACTGAAACAGCTTTCAAAGGGTAATCAGAGAGGAAAATCTGGGTCATTTAGAACATCTCACTGAAATAGGGACGGAATTAAAGAAAACAAAAACAACTTCCCAAATAAACTCCTCTCCTCTAAACATAACAAAACCTTTTTATTTTTTTTTCCAATATTGTTTCTTGGAAATAGCTGAATCATTTTTCATCAAATTCTTCTGCCAAAAAACTTGCCTAAAGCAGATACAACTACTGAAAATTTCAGCCCAGACATTTAAAGTCATAAACAACTATAATGTAAATTTCAATAAGACTGAAAAAAGTAAATCTCAACATGCAGTCTTAACCAGAAACTCCAGGTATAAAATCTACATACAGTTATGTGAAAACAACACTATTATCTTACTCCACAGACACTTTTTACTTTTCAATTGGAGTTGTGAGTGCTCAAGACTTAAAGAATTAGGCTTTTAAGTTAATAATGTAGAATGTAGAAAATGACACAATATTGTTTACTTCTTAAATTTCTAGTATGTGACTTATTTAAAAGCTTATTTCAAAACTGGATTTCTGTTTAGCAGAATCAGAAATCAGTTCCTACTGCTCCTAGGCCTAGACTCTACCCAGAAAACTATACCTTTTTCTTCTTGAGACCAACTCACATTTCACAGCTCCAGCCCAATACTAACTGTAATGAAAAGTAATGAAAAAATGTACTTTTCACTATCAGAAATATTTTAATATCCTCCACACATTTAAAGGTTATAAACTTACTGCTGCCATGTCTTTAATGAGTTTAATAATGATCTCTGAAATCTGTGTAGGTGTTGAACCCTTCATCCACCAATGGCTTTCACCTCGCCGAATATAGCTGCAAAGGACATATGGTAATACATTAAATAAATTCAAGTAATTAGTTACTATTTGTCAAAATCCACCCCAAAGAGAGTGCATATATTCAGCATACAGTAGGTCAAATGCACTAATAACATGACTCATCCCGTCACAAGTGTTATACAATTTTTTCCATTTATAAAACAAAGATTATAAAAGACAAAGTAACTGACTTCAAAGATTGTAATTATTTTATGCCTTTAGCTTGAGAATATATACATATTTTTAAACAAACCTGGAATTGAAGATCATTGGGAGTGTGACTGTAGTAACTCCTTTGCCTGCAGTAGTGCCAGCTGTCCCTGTTATGGTAGTTCCTTTGGCTTTTAGCTGTACAGTGAGAGCTTTGGCGATGCATCCCAAAAACATGTCTAAGATACCTAGTTTATTCCAGTCTCCTTTTTCTGTTGAGTGAATGATATCACTTATATCTGCTGGTGGAAGAGACTTCACTCCTATAATACTAGCCAGGCGACTAGGGGTTACCTCAGGCAAAACACGCCTTAGTAATGATGTTACCTGGAGAAAAAAAATAAGAACACGACTTCTTACCAAGACAGCTGGAGTTTTCAAGCAAAATCAAATAAAGTCTTTATTCTTCTTCACAAGTTATTTCAGAAAGAAGGACTGAATCTCCTTTCTGTACTTAAATTACACCTGTATGAAATTCTGTAAGGTTTCTGTCTTGCTTTGAAGTGTTTATTAATAAACCCAGTGAGACAAGGCTGAAGAGTCAAGCACCAATCTCACTCAAACAATACTTAGTCTTCATGTAATAATAAAAATATGCTTGGTACTAGACTTATAACAGTGACACAGATGTTTGTATAACTCTGACTTGTTTGCACGTTACAGACATGTTACCCACTTTGAATATAATCTTTAGACATAATCTTTAGATGTCAGAAACTCTGTGGTAGAACTGTTAGAGTCAATTTAGACTTCTGAAAACAAAGTACTTGTCTCGAGGTACTGAGACTCATGATATTCTTTTCCCCCTCCTTTAATTTTCTTTGTGAGATTCTAACTGGAATTTTTTTAAAAGGAAATCTGTGGCAATTGCTCTGGATCTAACAGGAGCTGTCTTGAAATTACATGCTGGGAGCACTCTTTTCCTGAAGGAACATGGAAGGATCCATGCTGGAGCAGTTAATGAAGAACTGCAGCCCGTGGGAAGGACTCACATTGAAGAAGTTCATGGAGGACTGTCTCCCATGAGAGGGACCTCACGCTGGAGCAGGGGAAAGTGTGAGAAGTCCTTCCCCTGAGCAGAGACAATGCGTGATGAACTGGATCACAACCTGAATTCCCCATCCCCCTGCACCGCTAAGGTGGAGAAGGTAGAGAAATCCATACTAAAGTTAAGTCTGGGAAGAAGGGAGGAGTAGGGAAAAGGTGCTTTAGGATTTGGTTTTGTTTCTCATTACCCTATTCTGATGTGATTCATAATAAATTAATTTCCCCAAGTCGAGTCGTTTCTGCCCATGATGGTAATTGGTGAATGATCTCTCCCTGTCCTTATCTTGACTCATGAGCCTTTTGTTACATTTTTGTCTCTCCTGTCCAGTTGAGGAGGGGGAGTGATATCCTGGCCTATTCAAAATCCTTCAGAATAAGGATAAGAAAGGTGAAAAGTGATATTACTGAAAGGCATTTCAAACTTACTCAAAAGTGAGTTAGTTTTAATCTGATAACTGTAGCCTTCATTGTCTTCAACACTGTTTGTGCTTCCTACAAATAGTTTTATAAGTCAAATTGTGGTGGTACTGAGGTATATATGCATCAAACACATAAAACTATCATTTTAATCCCATTCAAAAACTGGGAAAAAATCTCAAAACCTGACACTTAAATTCCAAAAAGAGATTCTGTAATTTGTTTTTAAATGTTCATAAACTTTCATTTGCCCTCTCCTCATGACTGCAATAACAAAATGAGTGGCTTTATTTACAGTCATTCGCTATGTGGAATACAGGGATGATCTGAATATGTTTGCAAAAACAGTTTTGCAGCGAAAACACAAAATTACATTTCACAGAATCACAGAATGTTGGGGATTGGAAGGGGCCTCAAAAGATCATCCAGTCCAATCCCCCTGCCAGAGCAGGAACCTAAATGAGATCACACAGGAAGGCGTCCAGGCGGGTCTTGAATGTCTCCAGAGAAGGAGACTCCACAACCTCCCTGGGCAGCCTGTTCCAGTGCTCTGTCATCCTCACTGTAAAGAAGTTTCTTCTCAAGTTTAAGTGGAACCTCCTGTGTTCCAGCTTACACCCACTGCCCCTTGTCCTACCATTGGGCATCACTGAGAAAAGCCTGGCTCCATCCTCATGACATTCGCCCTTAACATATCTGTAAACATTAATTATACTATCATGCACACAATTATAGGATTCCAAAGACTTTTTTCCAGGAATACGAAGAAAGACAAGGAACAGTTTGCACTCACCTGTCTCTGTACCCTGGGAGAAGCAGTGTGTAGTAATGAGAAGAGATCCTGGAGCAGAGTCAGCTGCTGAGCCAGGTACTGCCGGCCTACATTAGAGCCGCTCAGTGCCAGCACCATCGAGAGCAGCTCAAAGCAGTAAGCGTCAGAAGAAGCATCTTCATCGTTAGGCTGCGAGTTGGCGTTCTCTTTGCTAGAGATGGCGTGCTCCCATTCTTCACGCACACGGGTTGCTTCCATCCGTATGGCCTGGACTATGTGAGCACACACCTATTCAAACAGAATCCAAATACACAGTAACTCTTCAAAACTTTTAGAAAGTGAAAAAGATTGTGTTTTATATACCTTCACAACTATGGCTAAAGCGGAAAGCCTGTGATATTTAGCTTGTGCTTAAATTACTTTTCAACATAAATTCAAATGCAGAACAAAATCCAGATTTAAATTTACAGATTAAATTCTTTAGGATTAAGATTTAGATTTAATACTGAATTTGCTCATCTTCATTGAAATAAATATCTTTTTTTTTTTTTAATTGTAGTTCCTGCTTTTTAATTTGCTTTTTACATAGAATTCAGGTTAAAAAAACAACACATAAAACCCCCCAATTAAATACATTTACTCAACACCCACAAAAGAAAAGGACTTATTAAAAAACTGACGCTCTTGTTTAGTTTACTATTCAGGAAGCTTAAAAAAAATTTAGAAACCATGTTTTCATTTTACCAATAGCATGTTAAAAAAGCATACTTAAGATATTTTTAAGTTTGCTAAATGAGTGACAAAAAACTAGATTCTGCATGACTTACTAATCTAACAGGTTTCAAAATTAATCTAATACTGTTTGTATTACTGTGAAGATTTTTACGGCAATGTTTGTCTTTTGACAGGTGCAATAAATATACTTTCGTTGGTACATTTAAAAAAATTAAGTATTCAAAAGGAAAAGAAAAAACGTACTCTAATTACTGCCTTATGTTAAGAAAAACAAAGATAGGTAAGAAAATAAAAAATCCAAACTTTGACTGCAGGAAAGAATATTATAAGAAGCTATGCACTGATTATCTTTTTAGGATAAAATTTTATCAAACCTAAATACTTTTTGAAATGGAGAGAAAATGTGCAAAATTGAGAATCTAAACTCCGTCACTGAACCTCTCCTAGAAATTTGAGTGAGTCTACTATCATGCTATTATTGTCAGCAAACAAATAAATACCATTCACAACTCAATTCTAAAACTTTTCTTTTTAAATTGAATTTAATAGGATAGGGGGTCTTATTAAAATGGATTTTTTCAGTATCAATTTCAGCAGATTTTTAATATAAAACACACACACAACAGAAGATATGAAAACATCAAGTGAAAGGTTCTACATTAACTGAAAACAAACGTATTTGTTACAACACACTTATATTTAATCCTCCAAGTATTTTAGAATGAACAAACCTGCTTCTGCAAATTTGTCAGTTTGCTCCGGCTGAATATGATCCCCACCATGTGCTCCTTCAGGTCTGCATCTGATGTTGCCTTCATAAAAAGCATATTTAATATTAGATCAAGAGTTTCAAGAACATTTCCCAGTCACTTTATCCATTAACATGGAATATCAACAAACTTTGTTCTAAAAGTTGGTAGCTTTTTTGTTGTTCTTACAGAGAAGTAAGATATACAAGGAAGATCAATTTAACTATGGTTAATAAATACCTCTTAGATGTATGTACTGTCATTCTCATTATAAGAGAAAATTTGAGCATGACATAAAATAATCAATAAGCAAAAGAAGTGAAGTATAATTATCTGAAATTCAGCCTCTTCACCTAACTTAACACCATCATTGATTAAGTCTTTGTAAAGCAGTGCACGGAACATACTTTTCAGTTTATATATTTCACAATAAAATAAACAGAGATCACAGAATTAAGTTACCACACAGCTGGTGTGAAAAAAATAACATTTTCACAAATGAGTAATCCAGTTATGGAACTTATTGCCACGAGATACTGGGTAGAGCAAAACCATGTATCATCTGAAAATGAAATTATTTTCATTGAGGACGGTCCAATTTTGGCTACTAAACGTGACAGTCCAGATACAGTGACCTTTTCAGGAACACTTCTTAAACTAATCCTTGCTGGAAGACAGGAGAGTGTATGAGGTAAAGGGATACTAGTGCAGTTTCTTAATACCTCTTCCTCCAAACGTCAACAGAGCCCCTCTTGAGGCACAAGATAACAGGCAAGAAGGACTTTCAGGTAGACCATTACTGCAGGTGTTAAGTACTTTTGTAATTGCAGGCATAATTTGTGCCACCATTGCTACGATGTTTCCATGAAATGTACATGCCTCAATTATAATTTACTAATAAAAAAAAAAAAAAAAATCAATGATTTTTTTAAAAAATAAGCAATTGTGGCATTTTACTTCTGTTTTGATTTGAAAATTACATAGCATAAGACATAGGACAAATACTGAAAATCATCTGGGATTGTTTTTTCAGCAAAGTATTATTGATAGAATACAAATAAATACATTGTGTACTTTTTCTTCTCCTTCTGGGGAAGACAGCAGTGCTTTTTCTTCTTGTTCTGGGGTTGGCTCAGCATCTCCAGAGATGAGTTTTCCAAATACCTGCAAGAAAGACAGTGAAAATTAGCTTATCTCAAAGACAAACTCGTGCAGATGTGACATTTCACATTAAAACAGAAAGCACTGAAAGTCTACGATTCATAGTAACTTTCAGTGTATAACACATCATTAAAATCCCACCTGGGATGTAATAAGTCGGAACACTCGCAGTGTCTCAGATTCACAGTTTCTTTGTTGGGCTACACTTGCAGAAATCTGCCCTGCTATTTTAATGCTTTCACCATCTTTCCATCCAAGAATTTTCACTTGTCGAACTCTTAGTGTGTTCTCTGGGCCTTTCAATTCAATTTTGATGATGTGATTATCACCCCCAGGAAGTTCACTTGTTACCCAGCCAATATGTCTTGAATCCAAGTCTACCTATTAAACAGAAATATAAAGATGGGAACTGACATTACATCAAACAAAAAGTTGTCTACTTCTAAACCAAACTGATCATAAATATCACTGGAACTAAAACAGTGTTTGCTATGAAATGTTCATCCTGAGTAGTAAGACTATAATGTTTAATTATGAAAATATGCATTCTCATGAATTCAGGGAAACAAAATTCTCAAACTTAAAAAAAATTACCTATAACCATTTATTTTTTGTCTTTAAACCCTATTAGAAATAGTGGCCTATCTATCCCTTTTATCCTCTAAGCAAGAGTTCACGTATTCAAAAAAACCACTTTGAACTAATACTTGCTCACTATTTTTAATTAAAAAAAAGCTGTCATAATTTACCTGAAAATATAACACACAATTATCAGTAGTTGAACTATTTCATCACTATTCACATAAACCCCTGCAAAAGAAACTGTAACTCTGTGGAATTCAATGTCTGATATTCATAGAACCATAGAATGGCTTGGGTTGGAAGGGACCTTAAAGATCATCTAGTTCCAACCCCCCTGCCATCAGCAGGGACACCTTCCACTACACCAGGTTGCTCAAAGCCTCATCCAGCCTGGCCTTAAACACTTCCAGGGAGGGGGCACCCACAGCTTCTGTGGGCAACCTGTTCCAGTGTCTGACCACCCTCACAGTGAAGAACTTCTTCCTAATATCTAATCTAAACCTCCCCTCTTTCAGGTTAAACCCATTTCCCCTTGTTCTGTCATTAACTGCCCTTATGAAAAGTCCCTCCCCAGCTTTCTTGTAGGCCCCTTCAGCTACTGGAAAGCCGCTATAAGATCTCCCCGGAGCCTTCTCTTCTCCAGGATGAACAGCCCCAACTCTTTCAGCCTGTCCTCATAGGAGAGGTGCTCCAGCCCTCGGATCATCCTGGTGGCCCTTCTCTGGACTTGTTCTAACTGGTCCATGACTTTTTTGTGTTCGGGGCTCCAGAACTGGATGCAGTACTCCA